GTTTTGATGGATTTGTTTAGTATGCTCATGGTAAATTAGTTATGTGTTTGAGCTGCATGCACTGGTTATGGTTAGTGCCAATTATGCTAAATATTTCGATTAGAGTAGATTGTATGATGGATTATGGTTTTTTTATGTTGTATGTTATTGTTAGTTATTTTAAGGGTAAATTGCAAGTTTGGTCACTGGGTTTACTAAAAAGTTTTAATTTTAGTCACTATAAATATTTAATTCCAATGTTGGTCACTCGAATTAGTAAAACTGTTCATGTTTGGTCACTCTTCGTTACCTCTGTCAGTCTCTGTTAACACCGTTAGTCATTTGCTGACGTGGCAAATAGAAGTGCTGACTCACCCAATTTTAACCCGCCACATCACTAAACTGACCCGCCATGTCATTTCTCCTACCCAACCCGTAACAAAGTCTTATTGCGATTTGCGATGATTCTTTCCAAGGACCAGGAAACCGGATCGTACCGGCCGGTTCAATCAGGAATTGGACCAAAAACGGAACGACACGCATTTAGTGGCAGAATTATCGTATCGGCCGGTTTTTTTGGTTTAACCGACCTGAAATGAAATACCGTCCGGTTTTGTTCCAACCGGCGGTAGGCTATTCACAATGAAACGCTGCTGTTTTTGCAACAAAAATGAAGAAAATAAATAATAAAAAACCACTGGCAAACCCTAATCCCTAATCGAACGCCGCCCGAGTTTCCTTCCCCTGCCGAGTCTCCTCCCCTGCTCGGGATTGACCAGATCTGTGAGATTGATCAAAAATCCGGCGAAATCCCCGGCGACGGGGAAGGAAAGGCAGGATTCAGTAAGATTTGTGAGATCGATGACGAGGCCCGAGCTATACCCTTCCTCTCCGGCCTTTGGCGCTCCCTTCCCGCACAGTCACTCTTGAGAGCCTCCATTTTTATTATTGATTTGGCGCTCCATTTGTTTGGAAGGCAGAGGATGGTGATTTGGTGATGAAGGGGGATATGGAATTGATTTTGATAGTGAGAGCGTGCAGGGAGAAGGAGCCGAGAGAGGGAGAGAGAATGAGTGTGGAAAATCGATTGATGGTGGGGGCTGTGGGAGAAAGAAGGAGAGAGAGGAGGTAGAATATCTGGTGAGAGGAGGTAGAAATCAATGCCAATATGGGGGATGGGGATTTCTATTTTTTTTTAGAACACTACAAGAAAACTTGTCTATAGTGGCTAAAAAAATTTGCCTCTATAACTAACTTATTTGCCTCTAAATTTATTTAGAGACAGATATTACTTTTGCCTCTAATACTCCAGTGGCTATAGCCCTATAGAGGCAGATATAGTGGCAAATAATATATGCTTCTGATTAGAGATATAGCGACTAACATTTCAGCCGCTAATACCAGTTTTATGGCCACAAAATTCTGTCTCTAAATTGCTTATTAGCGGCAAATACTTTTGTTTCTGAATATGAAGTATATGAGGCATAAAAATGTGCCTCTGCTTATGTTTGTAGAGGCAAATAATAATCTGTATTAAAATTTATTTCAATGTATATACATTATTTATACAATTAGTTATCATAGTTGGAGATTTTTTTAATTTGAAATTGTGAAATTTACAAGGAGAATATCAAAATACAAGAAGAACACTGTATCAAAATACAAGCCAGTCACTCCCAAAGTCACAAACTATCAGTACATTCTTTTCCCCCCAACGAATAACTAGCAGTACATTCTCAAACACAGAGAATCGATTATGCCAATGCCAGGACACTATCTTTGAACCATCCTTAACTGCCTTCATGAAACTTCCAGCCGCTCTCCGCTTCAACCTGCACAGCAAAAGTCAAATGAACATCGAAATCAATTCCACAGAATGAAAACGCTAGCAAGGGTAGATCTGTTTACCAAAAATCCCAGATCTACTTAAACAACAATGTCACACCCCGACATTTGAGTCTAGGTTCGACCGAACAGTTAGATCGACGATTACGTACAAAGCATGAAAATTGTAAATTAGAAATAATAATAATAACATTAATAAGTAATGTTACTATTATTATCATCATTCTATTAATGACCACCACCATCAGCTGCCGTTTTCCCTAGCAGAAGGAGAAAAGAAAAAAAAATTAAATTATTAAGACCCTGAAACCGTTACACGCCATCACTCTCTCTCTGACTCTTCCTCTCTCTATCTCCCTAACGTGCCCAGCAACAAAACCCATCAATTCCCACTTCCCCTTCTCTCATACGCAGCGGCAGCGGAAGTCAAGAAAGAAGGAAAGAAGCGTAAAACTAAACTCAGCACCCACCCGACCTCTCTTACTCTCGGCGCCAGTTCCCTCCGTCGACAGCAACAGCGCACGCCACCGCTCCCTATCTCGTCGCACCATAGCTTCCCGACGGCGATCGATCCTCCGTTCCTGGGTCGACGAAATCATAATCCTCAAGGTAAGGACTTCGAGCTCAGCCCCTCATAGGTCAAATCAGACGTTAAGCTAACCCTCGAATCGTGGCCCATGATCGACGACAAGGTACAGTGAGCTAGCCGGAAAGTACGTCGACGACCCGGCGTAATCGAATTCAACCAAGCTTCGAAACCTTGGTACCATCGCGTAGAGGACGATCCCAGGAGCATCACGGTCTTGACGAAATTGAGTTTCGACGTCGGACGAGGGAGATACGAGCCTCGAAAGTTTGGGACGCAAATCGGACAGTTCAGGTATCAGTCTGGGCAATTCGAGAAGTTAGAGGATTAAATGTGTAATTTTTTCCAGAGAGGTCGTGGTCAACTGTGTTGACTCGAAAATTACAGTTTTGGTACCTAGTACTTTTAAACTGACTCAATGTTTAATTTGGTCATAACTCGATCAATTGACGTCCGAACGAGAAATCGTCAGCGCCTGTGGAATCGTGAGAACGAGGAGAATTTAATTGGAGCAAGTTTGGAAATTTTAGAGCAGATTCAGAGTTGGTTTCGACGGATATAAGGTGAGTGTAAAGGGGGTAAATTCTACGCCTTACATGTTTTAAGTATTTGTCTTACGTGAAGTTTCTGTGCACTGCTTGATTTGTGATTGTGTTGATTATGCATGCTTCGACTTGAATTATTGTTTGAGCGTTTCAATATCTACATTTAAGCATTTAAGTTTCTGTTCATACGTCGTTTGACCGCTTAATAAGTTATGACGACAAGAACAAGAGAAAGTCACGAGTAAGAATAAGTTAGCCTCGCTTAGCTAGCCACTAGCTAGATGGATCCCTACCGGACGGTGATAAGTTCCGCGGTAGTTGATCACTACCGGATGGTGATAAGTTCCGCGGTAGTTGGTCAGGCGTGGAGCCGAACGGTGATAAGTTCCGCGGTCTCCATTGCCCAGGTTTAGGTGTGCTACCGGATGGTGATACGTTCCGCGGTAGTCACGCCGTAGTTTGACACCGGATGGTGATTCGTTCCGCGGTGCTCAAACCCATTTGAGGGGCACCCCATTGTGAGGGTAGTCATGTTTAAGAAAGTAAGTAAGGCTAGTAGTGGCGCCAGCTAAGACGAGGTAGGGGCCCCAAAGTAAGCTAAATGACGAAATAATACATTTTTCAAGAGTTAAAGTTTGAAAGACGAGAGTAGAAATCACTTTCTCGAGTTTGTTGCGAGCTTCCGGGGAATAACCATAGGCGTTTCAAGTTTAAGTAAGGCGTAGACTGACCCCAATTCACTCACCAGATTGTAGAGGAGGTAAACCTAACCAGCCAGTCCGTGATCAGCAAGCTAGAGGAGTTCAAAACTATCGTCGTTGAGAGATGTCGAGCCAGGGATCAGAGTAAGCTTCGAAGAACTTTTCAAGTTATTAAGACGTTATGGTTAAGAGTTAAAGACTGGAGATTCATTTCCTTTGGACAATTTGAGTTTTGCCCACATGTTTAGGGCTACGGTTCGAGATATTGAGATATTTGAGTTTGGTATTTTTATTTAAACTTGTGTTATTTGAGATTTTAACTATACCCCGGGGTAGAAATGTCTTTTTCCAAATTCAAAGAGGAGGGATGTTTCAAACAACCTGATACCTTAGGGGGTAACCGATCTGGCGATTGCGCAATGGAACTCTTGCAGATCTGGTGATAGCAAACCGAGACAGTTATTTTCTTCTTGAATTCAGCCTGTTGTTAGCACGAAAGACGAGGAACATGCGGCTGGGAGATCGATTGAAGTAGCCTAACAAGGATGGATTCGATCTCGATGTTCTTTATTGAGTCTGGATCCGACGACGCTCGATGAGGCTAATGACGACCCAGCTCGATGGCGGCGGTGGAAGCAAGAGGAGGCAGCGATTGTCAACGAAGAAGGCTGGAAGATGGATATGGATTTGAAGGGAGTGAAAGAGGATTATGGGTAAAAAAATGGCATCGCAAGTGGAAGGAGGAAGCAGAGGAGCTAGTTGCGGTGGAAGATGAACGGATGTAGTGTGAAGGCAGAGAAGAGAGTCCTTTGGGACATTAACAATCTCAATATGCAAACCTTTCATATTTCTCTCCCCTAGAGTCATTAAAAACTTGCCCTCTACAATTGATTGCTAGTTTTTTAAAAGTGAAATATAGGAATATTTAAAAGTTAATAGCTATAGCAGCAATTTTAAACATCTATTGAGGCAAAAAAAATTATTAGTCACTATAAATAGTTGAGAGTTGCATAGCTTAGTAACTATAGAGGCAAAAAAGAGGCATCTAGAGGCAAATTATATATTTGTAGTATATCTAGTATCTTTAGAGGCGCATAATGGTGTCTATTGAGGCAAATTGTATATTTGTTGCATATAGTATATTTTTAGAGGCAAATCAAATATTTGCCTCAACAATTAGCCGCTATATATAAGTTTTCTTGTAGTGGAAGGGGCATTGGGATTTTGGTGAGTTTGGATAGTGGGATAATATATTTTGGGGAAATTATGTAATGTTTTGTTTGGTGTAATTTAGGAAAATTATATTTTGATATTTTATTATTTTATTATTTTGGGCATCGGCACCTCTGACTGCTGCTTCTTGTCGAACAATGTGTGGCGGTAGCTGGAGCCCTACTGGGTTCATTTCAACAGAAACGACTATGAGAATGGCTTCTAGGCTTCAACGACAAGCCCCAAGTGTTTCCCAGGTTAGTTCGGAATTCCTAATTCGACCCAGAACAGATTCCCCATTGTTCGCTAAGATTTGCCCAAATCAGAGTCCACTAATTGGGATATTGAATTCCATATCCTCACCGTGCGTCCGTGGCGGACATATCAGCAGCAGCAACCCTGAAATCACCCTCTTTCTATTCTTTTTTACTTGTCTTTTGTTAGCGAACTAACCACTTGGTCCCAATAACTCGAGTTGTTGGGAAAGGGATAGTTAATCCTTTTAACCTCTAATACGCCCCCTCAAACGAAAGCCGATGCCGAATTGTGGATTTTTACGGTTTGCACAGGTTGAACCCTTGTTCTGCCAAACCACGAGGCTTTAGTTTGCACAGGTTGGACATACCATTCCTTGTGCTAAACGAATTGGCATGAAATGGGGGTTGTTATGAGGATTCGAAACCATGACCTTTCGGTTCTAGGCTCTGATACCATGTTAGCGAACTAACCACTTGGTCCCAATAACTCGAGTTGTTGGGAAAGAGATAATTAATCCTTTTAACCTCTAATATCTTTGGTGAAGTCCAACAACTTCATCGTCGGTCCGAAATACAAAATTGCAAGGATTCGAATCCAAGATGTCGTTGTGGTTCGTCGGGCCGCCCACCTTGAAGTCCAGCTTTTTCAATCCATGGGAAATCGAGCTCTGGCGGCGCCCGATTCTGGAGCAGACCGGCGAGTTCGAATTCGTGGCTCAGTGAACAGAGCTCGTCCGGTTTGAATAGTTCTAGAATGGCAGCGACGGAGGAGCTCGGTGATACCTGGAGAGGCAGTGGTGGGAGTCGGAGGTGGCGGTCTGGCTCTTCCCCTCCCTCGTCGCCTGTGAACCATCAAAGAAATGGAGGAGGAAGAAAGTCGGGACTTGGGAGGAAGATGATATTTTGGGGATTTAATTTGAGATCTGTTTAACATATAATTTGGTTGGGTCGGTTATTGGTTGGGATGAGCTGAGTTGTGATTATATGACGGGTCGAGTTTCACCATTTTTGGGTTAAATTCGGACGATCAGATGATTTTGTTTGCCACATCAGCACAAAACAGATTCCACTAACGGAGTTGGACGGAGACGAATGGAGAGTGACCAAACATGGACCGTTTTACTAATTCGAGTGACCATCATTGGAATTAAATATTTCCAATGACTAAACTTAACACTTTTTAGTAAACCCAGTGACCAAACTTGCAATTTACCCGTTATTTTAAATTGCAAACATTAGTAGATTTCAGAAATTCCATCTTCTTATTCGTTGGAATGGTCGGATGACAAACTCTCACATTGGGTCGATTATGAAGATGGTGAGTCCACCAAGTTGAAGACTGAGACCAGATTCACGTGACAAGATTTCTATGACATTTGTGCAGAACGAATTTGTATGAGAGTGGGAGCAAATGAGGGTCTGTAAAATTATTTACTGATATCCAAACATCAATGGAGGCGGTGTCATGTACAAAGAAGTTGTCACATATGACAATGATTGAGTTAACATGACGTTACATTTCCTATTAAAAACAAAATCGTGCTTGCAGAGGTGTATGTTGAGACCGATGATATCGGCCAAAATGGAGCTAGTTATGGCTTATGGTGATGGTGTTGGAGGAGTGTAGGAATCAGGTAGTTGTTCAAACAACTATGAAGAAGGTAGTTATACAGACAACCATGTGGGAGATGGGGTACCATGGGAACTTTTTGTTGAGCCCACCCCATTTGTTAAGTATGATGGCGTTCGATTGAGAATGTGCCAACAAATCAGAGGCACCTTGCACAACCAGCTCTCGTGATCTTCGGGGTGTCTGGGATGATGCATCTCTTACATAGATTGTGGACATGGGTCCCCTCATCTACAATCATCAAACAATTGTAATTAGTACTATATATATTCACTCTAGTCGTCACAATTGAAAAGTTGTATGTATGCAGTTATGATGGTTACCTGATTCTAACAAGACTTGTCAAACATCTCACAGTAATACTATAGAGAGTGCTCAAGTTGATGGTCATTTCTCATTTGTGTTTACTCCAACCCACCTTGAAAATAATTATAAGCGTGTAAGAACCTTAAAACATAATAGTTATCAAATGCTTACTAAAAAGGTTTAAAACGTAATAGCCATAAAATACATACTTAAAAAGTTGAAGGTAATATAAAATTACTTAACACTATAAGGGGCATTACCTGTGGTTCGTTATGCGACCAATTGTCTGGTGGGAACATGGTGCGAAAATCGAAATATGCTCCCGTGCCCAAAGTTAAAGGCGGAATATAGCACCATCGATTTGTTTTGTAGTCAATTTTGAACAATCACATAGCTCTCAATACAACATTTCTAAACAAGTTGATCCCTAGCTCTTCGTCCCTATCACGTCCCACGTCCCACTCACTGAGGAGCAACAAAGCTACATGCATTTATCCACCTATTTGCCTAGTTCGGAAACATCACTTTACCAACCAAGGCAATAGGATAAACACGGGCATATCACTCCACTGTAGCTTCAGGGTTATCCGCATTCATCTCAATCTCATCCAAAATATGCAATGAGCCATGAGATTGATACTTTCTCCACGTTCAACGGAGGATGACCCGTTCCCTCTATCGTCGTCGGCATGTCGAAGCCCAAATGGTCCTTAATAAGTGGCCCCTAACATTCTTCGAGAGCTCTCGAGTTGCCTATAATGACCTCTCAGTGATTGGCAACTCGGTGATGGCAAATCCCGTCTTGTGTAGATAGCATTGTTGTTAAAACCGGACCGGATCGGCCGGTTGGATCGCGATTAACTGATTTCGGGCACTCATCCGGGTCCTATTGTCTTTAAACGATAAGAAAAATGACCGGCCGGGTATTAACCGGTTCATTCGGTTAACCGACAGAACCGGCGGTTTGTAATTATAACTTACTATTTTCTTAGAAAATTATTACTTACCTTTCTTTGTGCTAAACTGAAACATGAAATTGAAAAGGTAACAATAAATGATTCTTTTTCCTTTTTTAACCACAATAAATATTTCCAACCCATTTTAACTCTTCTTTTTTGTTTTGTATATTTTTTTTCACTTTCCCCAATGGTCAATCACTTTTCCTTTCCTCTTCTTCTCCTTAATTCCTCCCCAAACAAGCCTTGTATTTCTAATAAAGACAAGTATACAACATTTTGTTAATTTAATTAATTTTTATTCAAATCATCACTCTACTTACTTCCCTCTTATTCTCAATTTCTCCATTTAATTTATGAATTGACCAAATTCACGGTCAAACTCCAAAAAGCCAAAAGTCATTATTTATTACTACTATGATTAACATTTCAATACTAAAATCTTCGAAAATAAGGTATAGAATTTTCAATTTTTTTTTTTTTTTTTTGATGGAAAACCTGGGGTATTTCATTCAGAAAAAATCAAGGCAGGCCAGACCGGCCTCGGCCCAAATCGGCCACAAGCAAGCTTACAACAGGAAAAGGGGGGTCTCAACCCAAACAATCTGATTATCCCAACTCACCACCGAGTGGGCTAACCAATGGGCCGGCCCATTCCCACTTCTGGAAACAAAACTCCATTTTACAGAACAACCCGCAGCTTCCTCGATCTCTTCAGCCAATTTCCAGATTTCTTCACCACCGAGTGGGCTAACCAATGTTGGCGGTTTTATTACCGGCTTCATACCGGTTAATTATCGGTTATCCGATAAACCTTAAACCTCTCGCTAAATCGGATCGTTGTTCGGTCTGGTTTCGACAACAGTGGTAGATAGAGCAAGGTTCTTGCATGCCATGATGGCAAACATGAGGTCCCTCTATGGGCAAGGGGAATAAGAGATACATACGAAATAAATGCACAAAATCAATTTTTAATGATAGAAAAATATTAAAACGTTTCAAATCACTAAAAAAATATAATTTCTACGATCGAGCGTGCCTATCGAGTTCTTGTGCCAAATTGCGTGGGATCGATGCGTTAATGGCTGACACGCCTCTACCGTCACACTAGAAAGTGGCCAAGTGTAACCACCTACTAATGCGTAGTATAGCAGGTTTAGTTATAATGTCAACCCGGGTCCTAGGTGTGAAGACTACTCTGTGAAAATCTTATTATTTGGCGGTTCAAGTGTAGTGAAGGTCTAACTAAACTAGCAAGCAAAAGCAGTGAAAGTTGTGCTCAAGTTGAGAGAGATCACCCAGATATGGCTCCCCCTAGACTGCAGTTAAGCCAGGTTGTAATTCACCAAGTTCAAGTTCAATGATAGTTATACCGCGGAAGGTTCTTAGACAGTCTGCAGTCTCGACTAAAGGTTTCCAGACCCTCTCAATCTGAGTCCCCAACGGACGACTAACCTCCACCGGAGTAAACAGATTGAGGCCCTAACGAACCAAACCTCCTCTACCGGAGTAAATCTGGTACATAATAGTGAATTGACTCCTCGACTAAAGTCGTCAATTCACTACCTTCAATCAAGGGTGCTCTATCAACCTAGGCAAATATTATCTTTCTAGGTCAAAGCAGAAATAACAGGAATTTGATCAGGATTCATGTCATTCAAGAAATCAAACCACAATTGAATATAATCAATATCAATGAATTCGTACTTGGGTTCATACAATCAGACCTAACATACAAATCTAGGGTTCTTCATACCCAGGCGAGTGAGAGAGTTTACTCCATAGAGAGAGAAGGGAAATCTAGCTTAGATGCGGAAAACATGCTGTGAAGGATGAGATTCTGCTTCTGGCAATCAATCGGCACTTCTCCAAACTTAAGCCGAGCTCCAATGGTGATGAAGATCGATCTAGGTCGCTTGGAGATTCTGGTTCGTCACTCTCTCTAGGTATTTGCTTTCTCTCTCTAAAACTCGGAACCCCTTCAAAAATTGGTCTTCTTTCCCTCAAAAGGAAGCAGGACGCGATCCCCGGCCATAATACCCGGTCGGGTATTTCAGGTGCCCGGCCGGGGATTTCGAAACGCTGCGCAGCAACTAGGGGGTAATACCCGATCGAGGTCCAGAATACCCGATCGGGTATTTTAGCTCACCGGCCGGGACCCCTTCTGGAATTTTGGCATCGAAAACGTCTTTACCCGGTTGGGTATTTCCAGTGTCGGCCGGGTATTTTTTTTCTCCATCGTCCTTCTTTCATTTTACCCGGTCGGGTATTTTAGCTCCTGACCGGATATTTTCTTCTTCCAGCGCCCCTTCACTCTAACGTCCTCCTTTTTTACCCGAAACTCGTTTTCATGCCTCCATATCAACGTCAAGTCCTGAAATATGACATAAACGCACGACCTAGTGTGAAATCGATTTAAAACACAAGAATCGACTCTCAAACGGCTCAAGAATGGAAGTATAAACATGTGCAATTAATGGTCTATCAATGGCTCGGCTAAAAGTCTCGCATCCCTCGGGCCAAATTCGATATTCAATCGAGGATCATATATATCGGCCGCAATCTATGATTAAATATGAAGAACATTCTGGCTTCCTCTTCCCCCATTTTTTACCACCATCACTCTTCTTCGGCTCTTTCCCTTTTCTCTCTGCCGTCATAATTGTAAATTTGGTCTTGCTGGTGGTGGTGGAGGTTTGTAGTTAACGGCCGTTTGCAACGGAGAGAATGCTTTTTTGTATTTTTTTATTTTCCAAGTACAAAAAAATACATAAAGGTACATATGCAATCTTATGTATTAAGTTAATGCGATTTAAATAAAAGGTATAAACATGCTCAGGTACTAATATATTTCACGGTTCCATCCATGGTTATGAAGCTGGTGGAATGTCGATCGGTTCAACTTACTTGTGTGAATACCATCGATATGACCGACATGATATATTATCGACATATAAACAAAATGACGTCGTTTTACTGAATTTAATTAATATAATAATTAATTTTATGAATTTA